ATATAGGAAATGTACCTACATGCTCATGAGTCTTTCTTGCAAACAATATGTACATCAGCAAGAAGTCCTCATGCACATGAGTGTGATGCATATACTTACCTTGTGGTCTTGAGTTGGCTTAGTAGGAAAGAACCTGAGTAAACAAGGTTAGATAACACAGATACATCTACTAGCCAGAAAAAAAGAAACCACAAGAGTACCAAGACTGGGATGACATGTAGAGAGTGAGTATTGAGTACTCTACTGGATATAGACATGTCACCAAAGGTAAAGATATGCAATGAATTCAAGGATTTCCTTCCCTTAGATGTCTTGCTCCCCCGAATCTTGCTTGGGATACTAGGAGAAGATAGGGAACAGAAAATCAGAGCAACGAAAGAAAAAAGAGCAAATGCAAACAATCAAATATGAACATGTCTTTCCCCTCTTAAAGACATGTAACTTCTCTCCTCTTGAACACCAAGCATCCAGGGTCTTTGATGTGATACTTCTTTCTCATTGAAGAACTCTCCCCCTGAGTATTCTCTCTCCCCCTATAGAAATGATTAAGCTTTGATGTGATCTCTCTCTCCCCCTTTGACATCAATTTCCAAGAAGGGCTCTTCTGGATGTTTGTTACAAATGGGTTCAGTCCTTGAGTCACAAAGCAAAGCAGCAAGTCGAATGTGATGCTGGTAGAGGACAAGAATCATTGAGTGGATCTCGAGCAAAAAGAATGCAAGAACTGGTGGCAAGTTGTCTTTCCTGTAGTGAAATCGGTTGCACCGAGTGGTGTGTTCCGTTTGCACCGAAAGAGCTCGGTTGGGCCGAAAACAACAAACCGGTGTGATCGAGTTTATCACAGAGAAAACACTTGTCACCTCAGCTCACTAGACAAGAAAGATCTCACAAGGATTTGCAAGGAATTGGATGCAGGGAATGCAGAACAAACAAAGAAAAAGGAAATCTAGATGAAGTTTGCAAAAACTCAAGGAAACACTAGAGAACTTCATCTAGAATTGGGCGGTGACAAAGTCACCTATGTTAGAGTATATTGACTAAGGAGTCAAGTAAGAACACTTGATCGTAAGTCATACTCATCGTTTAAGCTCAAAAATGGGGTTACCATTTTTCGTTTAAGCATTTGATGTATTCACATCTTGTTGAGTTGCTTTGACCTATGTCTTGAGGTAAAGCTTCTCCAAGATGGAATGACATACCTTGGGTGGTGGTGTTGATCTTGATCATGTAGTTGAACTTGCGTGGGGTGCTCAAGGTTGATGTAGCACAAGAATGGTTGGGAGCACCACTTGGAGTGCTCAAGATGTGAGTGGGTTGCTATCTCATAGATTTAGATTCATCCAAGTACCTACAAGGGTTAGATAATATGCAAGGGTGCAAATATATCCAAGACATATGAATATCATCATAAGAGAAATATCAAGTATTTGTTAGAGATTCATGCCTTGCATGTATCCAAATGGAGTTCCTACTCCAAGTTTGAAGCATCAATGATGTTCAATTCACCTCTCAAACGGCAAAAGACTTTCTGATCAAGAGGTTTGGTGAATATATCCGCCAATTGCTTATCGGTACGAACATGCTAAAGATCAATGTCCCCTTTAGCAACATGATCTTGAATGAAATGATGAAGAACTTCAATATGCTTAGTTCGAGAATGTTCCACGGGATTGTGAGCAATCTTAATAGCACTCTCATTGTCACAAAGCAATGGAATATGTTTCACATTGATCCCATAATCTTTAAGAGTTTGGTTCATCCAAAGTAATTGAGCACAACATGAACCAGTGGCAATGTATTCTGCTTCGGCGGTGGATAAGGATACCGAGTTTTGTTTCTTGGAAGACCAAGACACAAGAGATCTACCAAGAAATTGACAAGTACCCGAAGTGGACTTTCTATCAACCTTGTCTCCGGCATAGTCCGAGTCGGAATAGCCAACAAGATCAAAAGATGACCTCTTAGGATACCAAATGCCAAAATTTGGTGTATGTATTGGATATACTTTAGGTCTATTTGAGCTTGAACTAGCTCAAACTAACTCTAACCCATGGATACAACAGTAGTTAATCAGCCGATAATTTGTAAGACTACAATAAACTTCTTCAGGGCCCATAATATAAGATGTTAATTCATCTAATATGTGAGTATATTGGATGTTATAAGATATTATAAAATAGTGTTGTACTACATCATTGTGCAATTGTTGTTTAGCTTCTAATATTAACTTGATGCTTTTAGGTACATATGTCGTTGGTAAAGATCCGTGCTTCGGCCCTTTCTGCGTATGGGGCAATGAGATATCGATGAACCAGCATCAAGTGAGGAAGTTGATAAAAGATTGTTAGTAAAATGGGTCAAAAGATGGCAATTAAACTATTTGTTTACATTTTATCCAAGACAACAGCAAACTGCAGGATGGTAAGTAAGAACTCTGCAGCCTTCTTTTTACTGCCATAATGAGTTGTGTTAGATGACAATATATGAATTTTTTTCCTTTGCAGTGGTTGTCAAAGTAGTTTACTCAAGATTATCTCTCAAACTACATGATTGGTGGGCATGCAAAGGTTAACGTATTTTTACTAGAACACGATGATTATCTAGATGTTTTCATAAAGATCGTGAAGGATGGACGGTCGTCCATCACAAGGGGTTGGACTAAAGTCGCGCGTGCCTTCTGCATGGAGGAGGGCACAATATGGGCATTCCGCTTCACCTTGTTTAGCAACCAGAATGTATTTCACCTCTTTCTTTACCGTCTTTAATAGTACAAGTATACAAATGTGGTTCATCATTCTTTATTTGGTTCTTATGTAATTCTTGAACATATGTACCTATGAATCGAATAATGCATTGGTTGTTTGAACCTGATGGATATGAATAAAGCTATAGCATACATTCAAATTCAAATCCGGTACAATTTAAAATAGCATGAACTAAATTACGCTCTCCAGGTCGTTATGGCACACACGACTGGTAAAATACAAACGTTTATGATATACACCATAATCCGACACAGTTCACAGAGAGGAAACGTGTGCAAGCATGCACTCAGTTGCCGTTTGCAAAGCATGTGCGATGTCAAACAATATCACAAACGATGCTGGCAAACTAAACGTTTGTGATAGTTGCCTTATCGTACACGATTCGCAACCATGAACTGTTTCTGATGAAGTATGCATCGTAAACGGTGCACCACAGAATAGCGTGTGCGCTAGTTGTCGTGTACGACGATATTACGATGGCCCGATGTTTCGTAATCCTGTCCGACACTCGTAGGGCAATTAGTTAATCTTCTTAATTAGTTATTGCATACGGTTTGGGAAAAGCGAATGTGTGTGATTGTATGCTTATAATACACATTCTATAATAGTGAACCGTTTGTGATGGGCCGCGCATCGTAAACGTAGCACCACAGAATACCGAACGAGTAGGAGTACTGTATATGCATCTTGGCTCCCTATCCCGTCGGTTTCTGGATCGTGTGGGAAGGACCCCCTATCGCCCGCACTCACTTGGCGACGGTTCCAAATGACGTCGCGGAAAGGGGTTAAAAACCGTTTGTATAGCACCGACGTGTACCAGTGCACATCCGTCTCGACTGCCTTAAGCTAATGACTTATTCAGCTTTACACGATACATGTTGCGTTTTGCATTTTTATTCGGGACAGAGATTTCGTCAGGAACCTTCATATATATGTCTGAATCTAGTGATCCGTAAAGATATGCGGTCACGACGTACATCAACTGCATGGATAGACGATTTTGCACTGCCAAAGATATAAGATATCGGAAAGTGGTTCCACTCATTACTAGAGAATATGTTTCAGTGAAATCAACGTTGGGTTTCTGCGTGAAACCTTGTGCTACGAGTCTTGCTTTATATCTCACCACCTCATTGTTCTCATCCCGTTTCCGGAGAAAACCCCATTTGAATCATAAGGTAATGAGGTGAGATCTACTGCTCATTTGCAAACTAACCACTCTTACTGTGAGGTCTACGTTTCGTCAAAAGACAAACGATTACCTCCAACGTGTATTCCTTATATTTAAATTGTAGCATACACAAGGTAATAGGCTACATTGAAATCTCTTTGGCAGTCATCTTTGGTGGAGTTTGATGGTGGCTTTTGATGAAGTATGTGCCATGTGGTGGTTTTTCGATCTTGTTGGATTTGGTGGCTTTTCGATGAACTAAGATTATGTTTTTAGTTAAATTATTGGATTGGGTGGACTATGGTTTTTAGCTGAATTGTTGGAAGCGGTGCATTTCAATTGTTTAAATTATTGTGCAATTGTTTGAAATATTTGTGTTGAAGTATGGAATAATCCGTCACAAAACTGTTATTAGGGAGTTAAATATAGAGAAAGGACTAGGTGCGCCCAGTTTTTTAACTGCTCAATTTTTAGAAAATAAGATTTGGGAGGAAGTTTAAGGAGTTATAGGACAAGGTTAGTGAATGCACGGCAAAGCTCCAATTTGAGGAAATGAGAAGCTTGGTCATGACTATCTAAACAGGCAGATTCTTTACCTGCTAATGCGTTCTGCTTTTAATAAAGAATGAAGTGACTTTGGCTGACTCATCTATCCACTTAGCAAAATGCTTTCTTTGCACAAACCAAAGTTCTATTCCAAAACCACCCTCTCCATAAAACCGTGTATGTGTTATGAAAGTTTCAATTTTGGCAAAAGACAGTTAACTGATGACCAAGCTGAAAAATCAGAGATCAAACCCGCACAGTTCACAATAGAGGAGCGATCTTATGCGACCGTTTACACATCACTGACTGAAAAAGCATCTCAGCCAAAACAAACAGGAAGCTAAGCTGCTTCCACTGCAACGCTGAAACCCGGTAGAAGGTTCACCCATCACAACAGACGGGAGGAAAGAACAGCAGCATCTAGCATTCTAATTCTTCAGTCGACTGCTCCTGAGCAAGCAGTGTTGCAAAGGCAGTGACAGCAGTGGAGTTTGAAGTTTTTTCAGGTGGGCAGAGCTTCAGTTCACTGACTCCAGGCTCCACGGATAAAGACTTATCTCGTCTCTCAGCTGAAACTCAACAGGCTTGTCCTCCAGGAATGAGTAGCTATCAAGCTCAACTTCATCAAAAGAATCTTCAGTCAGCTTTGCCTTGTCGCCTGGATGCAAATGTACGCAAGTTACATGTGAGAAAACTGAAACAAAATTGCAGATTGCCACGTAATGCGACACGTTAAACGAACTAGAGTGAGCCTATGAATGTCCGAGGAGAAAGAGACCTGAAATCGAGAGACGCCCACTGATGTCTGGAAGAATCTCAGGCTCCAGTTCCAGCACATTTACTTCTTCATGAAACGGTGCAACTGTCTGAATCGTCAACAAACAGATATTACATTTCTGGTATCAACATAATGCATTAAAGAGAGGAACAGAAACAACAAATGTTGTTCACTGGAGCATGAGCAAATGACAAACAAGGATATCTTCATTAGCATGTAAAGACCGACAACAAGAACATACCAGGCAAACTAAGGAACGGGAACATACTAGACGACTAAGCAATGACTGTCGGTTTATGTTAGCCTATAATCCTTAGCTAGTTTGATTTTCAGTCAGCTGAATAAGGAGCCATGTAACGTGTGCATGTGCACGTCTTGGCCAAGTATTTGCTTTGTTTCCTTAGAACTAGGGCTGCCGGTTCACTCCGTAGGATGACACAGTCAAGGTTATTGTGGCGGCTATGTAGGGGAGAGAAGGACAAGTCGCTATGGTATGGCAATGGCATGGTCGTTGGGCGGCTATGTAGGGTTGAAGGACGAGTGGCTATGGGAGGCATGGCCGTTAAACTCGGTCCAACGCCCATTTTTAGTTCAAGTTAGTTTGTAGCCAAAGAATAAGTAGAGGAGAAGAAGAACAGAAAAGCAGTACGATTATACTGCACAAAACTTGTCTCTCTCACGCATATTTCCTCTCTGTTCGATCATCCCTTCCAACAGTTTATACATGCCATGTGTTATTTACACAAAACAGATGCAAGAAGATAATATATAAAAATTGTTTAATATGAGTATGCATATCCATATAATCATTGCGGGTAAATTCAAATTAAATAAACTGAAACAGGACAAGACACCCGTCAACAGCATAGTGGAAACAAATTCCTACGGTGCTACTAGCAATTAGCAAAGTTGAAGATTCTAATATACATAAACAAATTTTCCAAAAGAAAAAACAGATAAAACTGCGGTTGAGAGCTTAAACAAATATTTTAGGGAAATCCAGATTGAGAATTATCAGCGGTATCATCCACAAGTTTAACTATAGCTAGTTGTCGAGTGCTGCAAGGGGAGTATCCAACAGAGAATTATATGAATTCAGAAGCAACATCCATAAGTACTTATTCCCTCCATTTCATTGAATAAGGCGCCCATGCTTTTCGAAATCCAACTTTGACCGTAAATTACAGCAATAATATATTTTTTAGTGACTTAAAAATTATACCATTGAAAGTTCTTTTGAATATGAATCCAATGGCATAACTTTTATCACATATAACATGCATTTTGTTGGTCTAATTTTTGGTCAAAGTTGATTATTGAAATGTGTGTGCGCCTTATTCATTGGAATGGAGGGAGTACATCTTTGTTGCCAAGTCCACATTTTTACTACTTCTTAATTGCTTCTACAGATAAAAAGAACAAGCTTGCAGCAATCAATAATGACAAATATTTCTTGTGGTAAAAGGACATGATACAGTTCCTCCATGCAAGAGGCATGAAAGGATCACATTTATGAATTTATACACATTGATTTATGTACCAACATTAGCTAAAAGAAACAGTGGAACAAGTAATCATGTAATTTTTGTTTCTATGCTTATGTCATAGTAAAAGGCATAGCAAGTTCAGTAGGTATATAGTGCATTCGGTTATGAAAGAAAGCTAAGTAAGGCATACTGAGATAAACATTATTCCTGTTTGCCAACGTTACCATAATTAGTTAATCCGGATGTAAATTTAGCAGTCTATTGAACCAAGAGAGCAATACTAACAGAATGTTTACGTGTGAACTGGCGAAATGCATACAGAAGTATGTAGACATTCAAAATAACCTGGAGGAGTTTTAAAAACACAGTGCATGTGGGTGGCTTACCTTAGCTGGAAACAGCAGAGGATCAAATATCACATCTGACCAATCATGCAATGCTGACGTTATTTTCTCCACTTTCTTCTTGACACCTGCACAGACATGATATAACCAGTTACATGCACATATTGAAAAGGTCCGCCGACATACGAACAGGCAAATGAAGCAAACTATAAGACACAAATTCTCACGTTTGTCTATCTTGTCACTGTCCAACCTCTGAGCATCATTCCCAGTGAAGTGGGTGCCCTCCACCCCACCCTTGGCCCATTCATGGCATTTTTTGGTGGCTTCATCAGCATAGATTGTAGTCTTGCTCAGTGGGTTCTTCTTAATGGCTTCTTGGCTGCGAAGAGCTGACTTGTCTTTCAGGACGGACCTATCCTTCAAGGGGTGGCCTTTTTGAATGCTAGGCGCTTGGGGCTTGCTGGTGTTGGACACATCCCGCAGAGCCTTCCTTGCTGATGGCTTTGCTGATGGTTTCAGTGGCCTGGCATTGAGCCCATCAGCCCTCTTGCCTGCCCATCAGGAACAAGTACGTCAGACGCTTACAACAGGAAACTTCCATACCATGAATTAGTTTCGAGCGAAAGAAGGCTCACCTCTATGGATTGGCAGGTTCTCATCAAGGAATACAGCAGCTGGAGCTGGGAAAGCCATGGCCGAACAGAAGCCTTTCTTCTTGTACCTCGAAAGCCTGGATGGAGTTAAATGCTGCTGCGCGAAGGGAAATCAATCAGACGACAGAAGCAATACACAACGAGTTCTCAATGCTATTGTGCTGTAAATAAACTTGCAATCAGCATATGATTTTAAATAAATGCTATTGTTTTGTGAAGGCAACCAAGATTCCGCTCACAGATATGAATCAAGGACTTCCCTACCCTGTTGTGTGGTGTAGAAATTGCAGCTTGCGCAGGATTTACACATCAGAATACGTTGTTTTGAAAAGGCAAACCCAGATCTCACATATATTTTAGGTTAACAGCAATCCCGCTGTGAAATATGCAAGGCGTGTTCAGAAAGACCACGCTTGGCGTGTCCAAGAAAACAGATCAGAAGACAGAAGCGTCGATGCTCATAACCCCGCCCAAGAAAAGGAAGAAGACGCGAACCAGATGGATGGACAGGGCGGATCTAGATGGTGGTGCACCCCGGAAATCGCGAAGGTTGGCGGGACCTCAGTAATCGCTGGATGAGAACAGCCTCGTGCATACCTCAATCAAAACCCTATGGCCAAAGGCTGCGGAACGGGGGCGGAGACAGCAGGAACGCGGTGTCCCGGCGGGGAAAGAACGCGAACGGCGATGCGCGTGAGAGGCGGAAGCGGCGGCGGAGGTATAGGGGAGATTTAGAGCCTGGGTCAGGACGCGAGAGGAAGAGGGGGGAGAAGGAGGAGTACCTCGCCGGAGACGCTGGGGAGTTGTTGTTCTTGGTTTGTCCGTGTTTTGCCTTGTTCGGGGATGGATTGGAGCCAAATGAATTGGGGAAAACTTAGGTAGGGTCTGCGGGAGCGGCGCGGTGGGAAGGAAGAGGGCAAAAGGCGAGGAGAGCGCAACGGTCGGATTTCGCTGGGCGGTGCGAGAAACTGCCGTTGGGCCACGCCCGGTTATTGTTGTGGCCCAGCCCGAGACGGATAGCCCAAATCCTAATCGGGAGCCCTGGGGGATAGGTTCATATGCTCTCTCATGAACAATAAAATCCAAAATAATCGTAAACAAATTCAAAAAACTCTGATTTTTTGTGATGAATGTTCTAATTGCGTGCAAATTTTTAGGTCAAGATGACATTCATGGAGGTCTGAAAAAAAATCAACAATGGTTATTGCTGAAATTTTGCGTGCGGTTAGAAAATTCATCAATGTTCATCACAAAAAAAATCAGAATTTTTTGGATTTTACTGTTCATGCATGAGCATATGAGCTCGGGATCAACTGTAAACTCGCGCTTTATATGGTTATAATTTGAATTTGTTCAAAAAAATAGAATTGATAATAATAAATGATAAATATATGTCATTGGTTTTTTAGTCTCTCAACCCGAACGCCCTATCTACCATTAAATGCACTCACCAATCTTGATGCATGAATCCCGTAACATGTCAGCTGCAACAAGCATTCGCTCTCGCGTGGATCGGGCGCGAACGCGAGCGACCATGTATCCATTCAGTCCTTCTTTCTTCTACTCTCTCATCGAGAACGGAGCATAGCTCAGTTGGCAAGGCACGGGAGTTTGCAGCCAGCCTATTAGTGTTCAAGTCTAGACTCGAGCGCTTGGTGCTCACGAAGTTTTCTTTTATAAAAAATGCCAACAGGCTAGTCTAGCCTGGGTTGGACTAATTTTTTTTTCTACTCTCTCATCCACTTCCAGTCTACTTTGATCCTTGGTCATTTAAGTGTGGGCCAAGCGCGAACACGAGCGCGAGTGGAGTTGGAGATGCCCTTAAACATCAATCTTCTTTTTCAAATAATTTAAAGAGTTCATATTCTTCGCTTGTAGCAAAGAGCAAAAACCATTCCGGAGAATTCGTGCATTTGGTTTGAGTTGATCCTTGACCCGTTTAAGCTTTCTACAACTCTCACATCACACAACAGGTTTTTCTAGATTGTTTTCGATTATTCAGATTTTCTAAGGGGCAAAAATCTTCTACTAGTTTTCTTCTTGTTTCCTTGGTAGTTTTTTTCGTGTTTTTCTTTCCTTTTAATTTAAAATAAATAAAGACTTTTGTTCTCGGATGTCCCTGTTGTTGATACACAAATATTTTCAAAATTTGTTGACATTTTTCAAATCCATCATTAATTTTATCTTTACTTGAGCTTTTAAAAATTTGAGTATTTTTTAAGTTTATGAATATTTTTGAAATTCATGCACATTTTGAAATGTTTGTGATCATCTTTTAAAATCCATGAACATATTTTCCTTTTTAATCTATCCGCGTAGCCGGATTTCTCTATGGAGACTGAGCAATCATTTTTTGTAAGTGGTTTTCCTTAGTAACAGAACTACGGTGGACGAGCCAAGCGACGCCACCGAGTCTAGTCTATGCGCGCAATTTTGGCTGCTCCTGAAATTTCACACATCATCAAATTTGTGGACACATCCTATTTTGCGCATAACACACGAAAAAAGAGGAAACGTGCACCGCAGCGCTGCACAATGCATGCTGGGATTCTTTCGTTGGCCCATCGTTTGTTTGTTTTCTTTGGTGGACGGTTTCCACTCTATGTACGCATGAACATCTTACACTTTTTCCTGCCATGGATGCCTCCTCTTCATCCCGGCGAGATGATGTAATGAAGACAGTGTTCATTCCCATAAACGTTGGAGTGATTTTGAAGATCCCGCTATGCACCAAAAGGGTAGGATGATTTTTGGGCTTGGAGCAAGGACAGTCGTGGTGCCTTTTCAGTTCAATCTGCTTATTGAATGATTTTGCATACTAAGTTGAGCAGAGAAAGCTGGCTGAAATGGCGACATGGATCATCATGGTCAAGAAAATAACAGTTGGACTTCTTTATGGAAGATCTGTGTGCCAAGCAAAATCAGGGTGTTCTTGTGGCGTTTGGTGCAACACTCCATACTGACCAACGAGTTCCTTCACCATCGTAATATGGCCATCATGTGCGGTATGACGTCTGTGGATTTGAAGATACTTGGGGACTTGCATTCCTTGACTGTTCCATGGTCAGAAGCCCTTGGGCTTTTTCTCCACAGATTTAGTTGAACACATATGCCCTAATTAGGACATGGATGCAAAAAATTGGATCTTCACGCTGCACAGTTCTATACCACATGATGAGTTCATAAAAATGGCGGTGACACTTTGGATGTTTAGCATGTTAAGAAAGGCGATACACGAGGTTATATTCCAAAACCCGTTATCGACTCACTGTTTCATAAATTTGTTTATGTATGAAACATGTCTCAACGAGCACTAGATCAGCCCCTCCGCGACCAAACCATTGGTTGGCTCTGATACGTCCATTTTGCATCATGCTTTTATATCGATATTTATTACATTATGGGTTGTTATTACACATTATGTCACAATACTTATGCCTATTCTCTCTTATTTTACAAGGTTTACATGAAGAGGAAGAATGCCGGCAGCTGGGATTCTGGGCTGGAAAAGGAGCAAATATTAGAGACCTATTCTGCACAGCTCCAAAAGTCCTGAAACTTCACGAAAGCTATTTCCAAAATATATAAAAAATACTGAGCGCCAGAAGTTCCAGAGGGGGTCCACACCCTGGCAACGAGCCTCATGGGCCCCCTTCTGCTATATGGAGTCTTTCGTCGAGGAAAAAATCATAAGCAAACTTTCGGGACAAGACTCCGCCGCCACGAGGCGGAACCTTGGTGGTACCAATCTAGGGCTCCGGCGGAGTTGTTCTATCGGGGAAACTTCCCTCCGGTAGGGGGAAATCATCACCAACGATCCTCTCATCGGGAGGGGGTCAATCTCCATCAACATCTTCACCAGCACCATCTCATCTCAAACCCTAGTTCATCTCTTGTATCCAATCTTTGTATCCAAACCTCAGATTGGTACCTGTGGGTTGCTAGTAGTGTTGATTACTCCTTGTAGTTGATGCTAGTTGGTTTACTTGGTGGAAGATCATATGTTCAGATCCATTATGCATATTAATACCCCTCTGATTATGAACATGAATATGCTTTGTGAGTAGTTATGTTTGTTCCTGAGGACATGGGAGAAGTCTTGCTATTAGTAATCATGTGAATTTGGTATTCGTTCGATATTTTGATGAGATGTATATTGTCATCCCTCTAGTGGTGTCATGTGAACGTCGACTACATGACACTTCACCATTGTTTGGGCCTAGGGGGAGGCATTGGAAAGTAATAAGTAGATGATGGGTTGCTAGAGTGACAGAAGCTTAAACCCTAGTTTATGCGTTGCTTCGTAAGGGGCTGATTTGGATCCATATGTTTCATGCTATGGTTAGGTTTACCTTAACATTTCTGTTGTAGTTGCGGATGCTTGCAATGGGGGTTAATCATAGTGGGATGCTTGTCCAAGTAAGGACATCACACAAGCACCGGTCCACCCACATATTAAATTATCAAAGTACCGAATGCGAATCATATGATCGTGATGAAAACTAGCTTGACAATAATTCTCATGTGTCCTCGGGAGCTCTTTACTTCATATAAGAGTTTGTTCAGGCTTGTCCTTTGCTATAAAAAGGATTGGCCCATCTTGCTGCACCTTATTTACTTTTATTACTTGCTACTCGTTACAAACTACCTTATCACAAAACTATCTGTTACCGATAATTTCAGTGTTTGCAGAGAATACCTTACTGAAAACTGCTTATCATTTTCTTTTGCTTCTCGTTGGGTTCGACACTCTTACTCATCGAAAAGGCTACTATAGATGTAACACCCCGGATGTAACTTACCCAATATGTACTCCAACTCTTGCCGTTTCCGGTGCTAAGTTATTTTATTTCCTCGGTTTCGGGTTTTTGTCTCCGTGTGTTGTGGTCGTTGTCATGCATCTCATATCATGTCATCATGTGCATTGCATTTGCATACGTGTTCGTCTCATGCATCCGAGCTTTTTCCCCATTGTCCATTTTGCATTTTGGCGCTCCTATCTGCTCCGGTGGTCCTTTCTACCTTCTTTTCGTGAGTGGG